CTACTAAGCCTGTGCTATAGAGCCTGGGAACCACAACTACTGAGCCCGCGTGCCACAACTACTGAAGCCTGAGCGCCTAGAGCCCATGCTCCGCAACAAGAGAAGCCCCACTCGCCTCAACTAGAGAAAGCCCGCGCACAGCAACAAAGACCCAATGCAGCCAAAAATAAATTTAAAAAAAAGAAAAAGAATCTGCCTGTCAATACAGGGGACACGGGTTCGATCCCCAGTCCAGGAAGATCCCACATGCCACGGAGCAACTAAGCCTGTGCACCAGAACTACTGAGCCTGTGTTCTACAGCCCGCGAGCCACAACTACTGAGCTGCGTGCCTAGAGCCCATGCTCGCAACAAGAGAAGCCACTGCAATGAGAAGCCCGTGCACCGCAACAAAGAGTAGCCACCGCTCGCCACAACGAGAGAAAGCCCGCGCAGAGCAGCGACCTAGTGTAGCCATAAATAAATAAATAAATAAATAAATAAATTTATTAAAACAAACAAAAAAATGGAAGATAAGATTTGGTGAGGATATAGAGAAACTGGAACACTTGTGTACTGCTGATGGGATTATAAAGTGGTCCAACTGCTATGAAAAACAGTATAGAGTTTCCTCAAAAAATGAAAAATAGAACTACTATATGATCCAGCAATCCCACTTCTGGGTATATATCCAAAAGAATAGAAAGCAGGGTCTCAAAGAGATATTTGCACACCCATGTTCACAGCAGCACTATTCACAACAGGCAAGAGGTGAAAGCAACCCAAATGTCCACTGATGAATGAACAAACTGTGGTATATACATGCAATGGAATATTATTCATCCTTAAAAAGGAAGTCTTGTCACATGCTACAGTGGGGATGAACACTGAGGACATTATGCTAAGTGAAATAATCCAGCCACAAAAGACAAATGATATATAATTCCACTTATATGAAGTACCCAGAGTAGTCAGATTCATAGAAACAGAATGTAAAGTAGTGGTTACCAGAGGCTGGGGGTGGGTAGGGGAGTTGTTGTTTAATGGGTATAGAGTTTTACATTTGCAAGATGAAAAAGCTCTGGAGATCTGTTGTACATCAATGTGAATACACTTAACGCCATTGAACTGTACACTTAAAAATCACTAAGATGATAAATTCCACACTATGTGTTTTTCTATCACACACACACAAAAGACAATTGAGATAATCGGAAAAACTGAAAACTAACTCTTTACACAGTTAACTACATTTGAATCCTAAAATTACTTGTAATAGATACAGCCACCTAATCCTCAGACAGTGGAAAAAATACTTTTATTAAGAGGTAGAAAACCTAACTTCTAACCCCAAGTCTCCTAACTAGGTATAAGATGATATTAAAGAATTACTGTGAATTTCATCAGCTATAACAGCATTATGGATATGCTTTTTTAAAAAGGATTCATACTGAAGCATTTGGGGGTGAAATTATATTTTCTAAGATTTGCCTTAATATACTCCTGACAAAAAAGAAAGAGTGAAGGGCTGGGGTAGATGAGAAGGAACAGTAGAATAGTCACAAATGTTGAAGCTGGGTGATGGGGATTCTGTTGCTGCTCTCCCTAGTTTGTGAATACTTCCAAGTTTTCACAATAAAAAGCTTTTAAAAAGAACAAACAAGGGGAAAAAAGGATGGTCGGACGGATGGATGTTTGGAATGAATGGCAGTAGGATTAATGTATTGAGGTTTTATAACAATAGTATCCCAGGGCTTCCCTGGTGGTGCAGTGGTTGAGAATCTGCCTGCCAATGCAGGGGACACGGGTTTGAGCCCTGGTCTGGGAAGATCCCACATGCCGCGGAGCAACTAGGCCCGTGAGCCACAACTACTGAGCCTGCGCTCTGCAACAAGAGAGGCCGCGATAGTGAGAGGCCAGTGCACCGCGATGAAGAGTGGCCCCCGCTTGCCGCAACTAGAGAAAGCCCTCACACAGAAACGAAGACCCAACACAGCCAAAAATAAATAAATAAAAATTTAAAACAAAATGTATATATAGTATCCCAGTACACAGGCTATAGTTAATTTTTTTTTTTTTTTTTTGTGCTACGCGGGCCTCTCACTGTTGTGGCCTCTCCCGTTGCGGAGCACAGGCTCCGGACGCGCAGGCTCAGCGGCCATGGCTCACGGGCCCAGCCGCTCTGCGGCATGTGGGATCTTCCCGGACCGGGGCACGAACCCGTGTCCCCTGCATCGGCAGGCGGACTCTCAACCACTGCGCCACCAGGGAAGCCCTATAGTTAATTTTTAGAAAGCTTTATGTTTCATTTTAACTTGCATTTAACAGATTTTTAAAAAGAAACTAGAATGAAATTGAAAGCATTTTCAAGCTTCAAGTAAATGTTTCTCACCACCTCCCCCAGCAATAAATAAACAAATCAAAGAAGGTAAATGAGTGAAGAACAGGGAACAGAGGTACCAAGGGGGCCGTGGAGAGCAGCCCACCAGGACCATATCTGGACACAATTGGAGAAATTTGTGCTGGGAAAACTTCCACCACGTCATGGGACACAAACCAAGTGTGAGAAGGTGCTGCTGACTATTCCTTGGGCACAGAAGATGGACCTGTCTTGTTTCTGTTAAGAGAGGAATCAGTCAAGCAAGGACTTCAGAGCAGGGATGACAGACAGGTGCTCAAGACTGAAAAATGCTGGCACTCAGCGAAAGAGAAGAGACAAGAAGGTACAAGATGAAAAGCAGGACTGATGGAAGTGAATTCCATCCAGCTCAGGGCACTGATGAGAAAGATCCCAAATCAAGAAACCAGTGAAATAATACTTGGTAGAGCAGGAGACACACAAGGTGGAAGACAAATGGCAGAACTAGTGTAGACTGGGGGTGATCCCAACTGGGGTCAGGGCACGAGAATGTGAGAGGGTCTGGAAGAGTTCCTGAGATGGCGAGGTCGAGTGATACCACCAAGAACGCAGTCAGGAAACTTGAGCTGAGCTGGGCGCTGCCCTTGGCAAAGCACTTCCCCCTCCTATAACCCCACCACCCGCAAAATGTGTTAAAAGAAAGCCTCTCCAGGGTCCTTTCCTTGGTTCTGGATAAGTTTTTCTCCAAACTTATTCCTGGCTGTAAGGATGATTAAACACGAGGGGGTAAATAATAAGGAAACCACTGAAATCTCAACTCAGATACATTTTAAACTCGACTGGAAGACCCGCTGTCAATACTTTGGTTGCCTGGAAACAAGAAAGGTGGTCTCCAGGAGCCCCCAGGGTTCCGCTAACCAAGAGGACAAGGGGGAAAATGGAGAGACTTGCCCTGGCCAGGCTGAGTGTGCACAGGGAGACAATAACACAGGCAAGAGACAGAGGAAAGCAACCCCAGCAGTTGCTGCTGTGACAAATCACTGGGCCCCAGCAGCAGGCGGCATGGGACCCACTCCTGTTTCCCAGGACTGGCTGCTCCATAAATTCTCTGTGCACCTGTGACCAACACAGTCCCTTTGCAGGCCCCATGGGATGTTTAAAAATTAGCAACATCAACTGCTTCCTTGTGACTGAGCTACAAGCAACTTCTGCGCCATGTCTTAATACCCTCCCTGCAAAACAATCTTGAGGTAGATACGATAATTATCCCCATTTCAGGGTGAGGGAAACCGAGGCTCAGTGAGGTCATTTGCCCGATGCTGCCTGACAAGAAAGCAGGAGGGTGAGCCCCTCCAGTCAGAGTTCCCTGTCGCAGAAAGATTCTCAGTGAGGCCTTGTCTATCAGGCCTTATTGCTACCCCAGGGTCAAAGGGTATCCTACCTCTGGCACAGAGGCCGGCCAGCGAGGCTGGGGCTGCTCCAGACACGGTAACCCCTGCCTCTTTTTCTGAGGGTCCAGCTTAGGGATGGCCGTCTGGTTCTGTGGCCAGAGCGCTAGGACAGCTCTGATGGGGTCAGGCTGGTGGGGGGGAAGGGGGCAGTGAGCCACCAGCAGGAAGGACAGCCCAGCATCCCAGAGCCAGGGGTCCCACGAAGGGAAGGCCTTGGGGCCCGCAGGAGCTCAGTGCCCTGCCACTCCCCATGCAAGCCTCAACCTCCCTACCGGTAGAGAGCGAACCTCCGTTTCTGACCCAAACCTGGGGTGGGGGGTGTGCACTCCAGTTTCCTGACTGTCCCTCCAGTGTAACAGCCACCCTACACTGAAACTGGCCGACCCCCTTCCGGGTCCTGCTCAAGTAGTTACCATGAACTGAAATCGGCCTCAAGCAGACCACTTCGAAAGGGCATCAGGTTATAGGCCCTTGCTTGTTCTCGTTACAATGTTACTTGTGTTTGAACCCTATCCTCACCTGTAAGGGTAGAGCTACTTACCATCAGGCAGTGGGAAGAACACTGGTCTTGGGAGGCAGAAAACCTGGCTTCCAGCCAGAATCTCCCATAACCCTTGTGCTGCCGCCAGTGCTCTACCTCCCTTTGCCTCGGTTCCCTCATCTCTCAGTTGGGGAAAGTCGCCTGTCCCTAATCACCTCATCCAGGTGTTGTATAAAAGAAGCCAAGTTTGGCAAACACCCTCTGAATTCCTAGGCAGCGGCACTCTGACCTTCATTCACGGACCAGTGTTCCCATCCTTCTGCCCCACCCCCAACCCCAAAGGCCCAGGAGCACAGCCAATTAGACAGCATCACTCAAGGCCCGGAACAGGATGAGCCTATATTCCAGCCGACTTGGCTGATGCTCTCAGTAAAGGGGACTCTGATAGAACCAAGGGGGAAAAGAAAAGCTTCTTCTCCAGCAGCCAGAGGGGCCTCCATCTCGCCAGTTCTCCCAGATTACCTAGCCACACTGCCCCTTCCCCAGAAAGCTCTGGATCAATGATTTTGAAAACTGCTTAAGTCCTAAAGAGGCTTTTAAAATACCAAGAGCCCCCTCCCTACTCCACTTTCCACAGGGATCCCCTTCAAGCAACCCCCTGGTTCAGTTCATCCCCATGAGTTCTGCAGAGGAGGAGGGCTTACTCCACATCATCTGGAAAATAGATGCCTGTTCCTACACATGTGACTTTAGTGGCCTCACAAATGCACAGAAAGAAGCAGATGGCCACCTACAGAGTTAACAGGCAGCCCCACCACTGATCACGGTGCAAGCCGGTCTTGTGACAAGCGTGTGCTGGCAGGAGAGACTGGAGGGGATAAAGCAGGCAGCCTGGTCTGCAGAGGGTCGGGGATGGAGGGCAAGGGCAATGAGGAGGCGCACGGGGCAGGGGTGGGTTCAGGGAACCCGCTGCAGGACGAGCTCTGTAATCTCCGCCCTGCTGCCCAGTCGCATGGGTATCCCATAGTAGGCCGTGCCTGGGCTCACATAAACAAATGTAGTCTGGGCCACTTGGTACAGACCAGCAAAGAAGGGGTTCAGGAGATAGGCTGCCACATTCAAGGGAAAGATCTGCCCAGCGTGAGTGTGCCCAGAAAGGATCAAGTTGATATCTGGCCGAGCCTGGAGAGCTCTCTTGGCAGCCAGGGGCTGATGAGCTAGCAAGATGGTGGTGTGGTCCGGGCTGCAGCCCCCCAGAGCCTTCTTGAGATCCATGCCGTGGCCAGAGTAGTGCAGGATGTCTGCTTCGATGTCGTCCACCCCGGCCAAGCAGATCCAGTCATCATCCTCACCCCTGCCAGGCTGGGCCCGGGTGGCAGAAATCTTCACGTTCTGATTGTGAAGGGGCGTGACGTTCAGGGATTCCAGCAGCGCAAACCAGTTGCTGACATCTGATGTGTAGTACTCGTGATTCCCCGTGACGAAGTAGGTGCCGAGGCGTGAACGAAGCTGGCCCAGAGGAGCGACGGCTGTCCGGAGGACAGAGGCTTCGGCATCACACAGGTCACCCACAATCACTGTGACGTCCGGTTCCAGCGTGTTCACCATCTTCACGAACATCTCCATCTTGGTCCTGCCCACCGTGGGGCCCAAGTGGATGTCGGAGAGCAGCGCGATCTTGAGGTTGTCCATGGAGGCGGGCAGCCAATGGATGGGCACCTCCACGGTTTTCACAGCCGGGGGCTGGGCAGCGTTCAGCAGCCCTACCACACTGAGCACGGCGGACACCAGCACCGCCAGCGCTGGCCTGAGTGCCAGCTTCCTTGTCTTGTCAAGGCTGCCCACCACCCTGCCGGCGCGCAAGGCCAGGAGCTGGTAGGCCTGCTCCATGCCACTGAGGGTACAGAGGAAGCAGACCATGATGATGTATGCCCCAAGGCAGGAGTAGGCCGTCAGGGAAAAGAGATAGGGCTCCTCGGCCACTAGAAAGATCATGGTGAAGAAACTGGAATGGGCCAGGGCCAGGAAGGCCACAACGGCCAACTTCCAAAGCTGGAAACAGGCCGACTCTGCAGCAGGGGAGTGGCTGAGGTTGCTGACGGTGCTTCGCCAGATGTAGAGGGAACCGAGGAGCATGAGCGAGTTGGCAAACAGGGCGAGCTGCAGGCGGAACAGCCACCGCCAGGCCCTGAGCTCGAGGCTCTCCGCCAGGTAGGAGCGGGAGATGACCATGGACACGAAGACAGTGCCGGCTGCCAGGGCGGCCTTTGCGCCCAGGGACAGCTGCCTGAAGATCGCCATCACCTCTGCTCCTAAGAGGGTCCCCTGCCAGTTCTGTGCAGGCGGGCTCTGGAAGGTGAGCTCCTTAGATAGGACAGTGGCCAAGGACAGGTTTCCAGGTCAGCTCCGCCTGCAACCAGGAACCGGCGTCAGCTTTGTGGGATATGAGAGCTTCCTTGTCCCCAGTCAAAACCTGAAGGCCACTTACACCTGCCCAACCCATCCTGAATCCAAGCCACTCAAATACCAGTCAGTTGCTACATTTTATTATTGAAATACAAACACGCTGGATTATAACAGGATGGGCAGTTTCATTTTCTTACCGTTTTCTGTATGTTTCAGGTATTTCCATAATGCGTGTGAACTTTTATAATAACAAAAACATTATTCTAAACCAGCGGTTCTCAAAGTGTGGTCCAGGGAGACCCTTTCGGGGGGTCCATTAAGTCAAAACTATTTTCAAAAACAGTACTAAGGGGCTTCCCTGGTGGCGCAGTGGTTGAGAGTCTGCCTGCCGATGCAGGGGACGCGGGTTCAAGCCCCGGTCTGCGAGGATCCCACATGCCGCGGAGCGGCTGGGCCCGTGAGCCATGGCCGCTGAGCCTGAGCGTCCGGAGCCCGTGCTCCGCAGCGGGAAAGGCCACGGCAGTGAGAGGCCCGGGTACCGCAAAAAAAACCAAAACAAAACAGCACTAAGCCATAACCATTCTCTCATGAGTGTACAGTGAAGTTTTCCAGAGGCTACATGACATGTGATATAGCGAGAATGAATGCAGAAGTAGCTATGAGAATCCAACTATCATCTATTAAGACAGACATGAAAGAGATTTGCAAAAATGTACAATGTCACTCTTCGCCCTACAATTTGGGAAGAAATTATTATTTTTCAAGAAATATATAAAGTTTATTAACATATAACGATTTTACGATTTCTTAAGTAAGTTAATAAATACTTTTAAATGTTCGGTTTTAACTTCTAGGACAGTTAATGTTTGAGAACCGCTGTTGTAAATAAATGTAAGAAGGAAATCATGGAAAGCTAGTTGGCTGGTATCTTTTCCAGCTCTAGGCCCAGGAGGGACACCTAGACACCTAACATAAGGATTCCTGGGGTGAAGACGGCCTCCTGGCAGTCACAGGGCAGCCCCTGTGAATGATGCTGCACAAGGATAATGAGCGACCACGACATGGCAGGCTGCCCTGTCCCCCAGCTCCTCCTCCATAAATCCTTATCCCTCCCGTCTCACAACCCTCCTAGACATCGGTTAAGATCTGCCATCTCCCCATCTTTCTCTGCCACTGAATCCTTGAACTGTTCTCTTGTGGCTCTCATGGCTGGCTAGTTCCCACTCCAGGGCTCCCAGACAAAAAACTGGGCCAGGGGAAGCACAGACCCAGGTAGACAAAGGTTAGCAAATAGTCATTTGAGGTGACCTTTTCCCAAGAAGAATCCAAAATGAAAATATTTTCAGCAGTTGTTTTCCAAATAAGATTCTCAACCTCGGTTTAAGATAGATAAATTAAAATAAAAAAATATATATATATATATTTTTTTCCCCTGCCCTACGTACTTTACTGAAAGCCTTTTATCAAAGGTGTAATTTGCAAGTCAAAGTTCACCATTTTCCACTTATAAAACAAGTCCCAGACTCAGCCCATCCGAACTCTGGAGAAACCAAAGTTGGTTCCCTGAACGTGCAGAGAGACAGGCGCCCGTTTAAATCCCCCGGTCCCTCTCCCCTTAGATCCACCCCACCTTTCCAAGGCCGTGATGCTGACCTTCCCAGGAGCGATTCGGAGTTCCCTCGGCCCCTGCCTTAGCTCTGCCGGGTGGACTGAGGCTGTAGTTCTCCCGCAATCGTGCACGCCCCGCACCGCCCAGCACCTCGTCCCGCCAGACCTCCCTCCAGCAACGCTGGCGGCTACCTGCAGCCTGCCTCTTGCCCACCGCCAAACCCTAAAGGTTTGGAAAATCCAAGCCTTAAAAAGTAGGCGGCGGGAAGGGCCGAGAAGGGCACGAGATGTCCGAAAAGAGACCACCTCGAAGGTAATTAATCCAATGTTCCCATTGCGGGGGCCTCTCTTGACCCCATTTTTCTCCTTCCGGAGCGCTCCGCAGAGCGCTGGCAAGGAAGGGCGCGCCAAGCAGACAGAGCCCAAGGCGCCCTCCAAGAACGCGCGCTACTTGGAATCCCCCTGCCGGAAACCCGCAAAGCTGGAAAGCACCTCATCTCAGCCCCTCATTGCACCAATAAGGAAGTAGGTCCCAGCGAAAAGAGGCGGCAGGGGCGGAACACACGAGCGACAGAGCTACCGGTAAGGAAGCGCGCCCCGCCCGGCCGGCCCTCTGCCGGCTCAGCCCACTGCCTGAGCTCCCCCCGTTGCCTTGCGGGCCCGGGCGCGCCTTGGGGTCCCAGGACCTCCGCCCTTTGGGACCCCAGGTGGCCGCAGCACCAGCCCGGTCCCCCGCCAGCCTGTCCCCTATCCATCATTCCTGCGCGGGGGTCCTGTGGACTTACGTGCAAGCCACGCGCAGAGCCCAGCAGCAGGGGCACCAGCAGCAGGGAGAGGATGCGAACGACCCCCGGCATATCCACCCTCCGGCCTCCTGGCTCCACTGTCAGCGCCCGGGCAGCCGCCGGGTGTCACTTGACTGAGGACCCGCGGCCTGGCACCGCCCCGCGCCGGCTCCGCCCCGCGCCCCGCCCAGCGGCCGCCGAGCCAGGAACCCAGGGAGGCGGGAGCCTGGGGCCAAGCGCTGCCGCGTGACAGCAGGATGGTGTTATTTGGCACTGACTGGCAGGGCTCCGCCGGAGGGAGGGGCCTTTTGCAAAGGCCCTCAGGAGGCCTGGCTGTCAACAGCTTGATAACGCGCCTCGGGGTTGGACTTTAACAGGGGTCTCCTTGCTCCCTGGCTCCCTTGACAGGACAGAAGAGGGAAGTTGAGGCCAGATAAACCTAAGTGGACTAGATGGACTCTCAGCCCTGCCCACGGGGCTGTCCGGAAGACTAAACCAGGGGCCTGCAAAGTGTGGTTCCCTAGACCAATCCTGTATCTGGTACGTGTTAGAAATGGAAATAGCAGGTCCTGGCCCAAGAAATTCTAGGGGTGGGATCCAGAAACCTGTATTTTTACACACCCTCCAGGTAGTTCCGATGCACGCTAAAGTTTGAGAACCACTGTTCCAGGTTATTGATACATTTAGAAGTGTGTTTCAACTGTGGCGAAATCTTTCCGAATGCCAACCCTCAAAGCACCAGGGGCTGCGGAATTTTTATTTCATCGCTGGGTTTTGAGAGACAAGAGTAGCAACACCTCCCATCTTTCAGTTTTGCCCTTGAGCCCCTCAACATCCCTGCGATACCGCAGATCTATCAACTGGGCATAAAATACAAGTTTTATCCAAGTTTTCCACTCGTGAAAACGAAGTCTCTACTGTTTGAGTTAACGTGTCCAGGACCGCTGGTTAACCACTAGATATGAGTCTGAAGTTGTCTTTCCTACCTAGTTCCCCGAACTCTCTGAAAATCCCCCCTTTCTCAGAGGAAGGAGCCTTTAGGGAAATCGATTTCAAATATATGTATTTTTCCAGCTTTATTGAGTTATAATTAACATTCCACAAAATTCACTCATTTTAAATATTTTTGACTTTTATATTGTTAACTTAGTTTTGAAAAATAAAAATGTAGGGTTAGGGGGTTCCCTGGTGGTCCAGTGGTTAGGACTCGGCGCTTTCACTGCGGTGGCCTGGGTTTGATCCCTGGTGGGGGAACTAAGGTCCCACAAGTCTCAGGGCGCAGCCAAAAACAAAACAAAAAAACAAATTACGGTTAAATTATGCGGTCTATTGACAGACTCCTAGACTAAACTTTAATTAGGCTCCTCTGACTAGAGACTCTTTTAAGCTCTTCTAGACCTGGACCTCGGCCTTCTGTGCCTGTCCTGTCCTTGCCTGCGCTGCATTGTGCAGTCTTAGCAAAGAATCCTGCTAAGTCAGTTTAGGAACAATCCCCCAATTCTTGTTATCTGATCAAGGTCCTCATCCCCACCCCACCTCCCTTTGACATCTAAGTCCTTGACCTCCCCTTAGCAAGAATCCCTTGAGATCTCCTCTTACAATTTTTCACCAACAAGCCCTTCTCTCTGCTGGCTGTAAATCCCCAGCTATCTTTGCTGTACTTAGAATTGAGACCCATCCCTCCCCACCTATGGCAGTAGAGTTGACCCTTATTACAAAAAAGTCTTGAAGGAAATCTTCCTTACCATTTTATCAAGTGTCAGAATAATTCTTTTCTTTAACACTATTTTTTACAACTTGTGCATCTTTTTAAAACTTAGTCTGGTTTTTAACACTGTGAGCGATGATTATAAAAGTCAAGAATAGTGGTTACTTGTGGGGGTGAGGGCTTGAGATTGGGAGGGGCCCCATGGAAGGGCAACAAAGTTTTGTTTCTTGAACTAGAGGGTGGTTACAAGGGTATTCGCCATTTAGTCCTTTTTTTGTTTTGTGTTGCTTTCTGGGTTTTTTTTGGCCTTGCCGTGCAGCCTTCAGGATCTTAGTTCCCCGACCAGGGATCAAACCAGAGGCCCCTGCACTGGTAGCACGGAGTCTTAACCACTGGACAGCCAGGGAAGTCCCTCATTGCCTGACTTTAGAGCCTGAATTATTTTTTATTTTTATTTTTTAATTGAACTATAGTTGATTTATAATGTTGTGTTAGTTTCCAGTGTACAGCAAAATATATTCTTTTTCATACTCTTTTCCACTATAGTTTATTAGAGCCTGAGTTACTTTTGCAAGGCCATGCTTCTGTGCCTACTTTACTTATAGTTCCTGTCCAAGTGTGCATATAGAGTGTGTGCTGGTGTGTAAACCTCCTGCTCCAGGTTGTGGGGAATATGAAGTGATCTTGAGAAGGCTATCACCCCATAGGGAATCATTTTCAGTAGAAAGATGTCCACATACACAACTATATATGGGGCATGCTCTGATATAGACCAGTGCTACTCTAAGTGTGGTCCGAGGACCAGTGACATAAGGTAAGTACAGAAATTCAGAGTAGGTATTTGGAAACTTACAGCAATTTGAGAAAGCTTGTCTGTTGCATCTAATAATAAAAAAATTAGATGTGAATTTTATGTCTATTTTTATTTCTTTTTTCTAGTAATTTATTGTTATAGATTTGTACAACCAGATCAGTCCTTGAAGGATGGGAAAGAGCACTGATAATCACAGAAGCAAAAGTGATCCTTCACCAAAGGTAGCTTGAGAAGCACAGAGGCCTCATCAGTAGCCTAAGAACAATGAAGGGAAAAGACATATGCGACCCAATAACAGGTTAAAAACTTTGTTTTTCTATCCTAACAGGGCTTTGCACAAGTTAGGATAAATTGGGAGATTGGGATTGACATATGCACACTACTATATATAAAATAGATAACTAATAAGGACCTACTGTATAGCACAGGGAGCTCTACTCAATACTGTTATTACCTATATGGGAATAGAATCTAAAAAAAGAGTGGATATATGTGTATGTATAACTGATTCACTTTGCTGTACAGCAGAAACTAACAGAACATTGTACATCAACTATACTCGAACAAAAATTAAAAATAAATAAATAAAGTTTTAGAACAAGAATCAATCTCCCTTTGAATGACCTGTTTTCCATTGTGGTCCTACAGAGCTTTCCTCAGGTTCCAGTGTCAGTTCTTTTCTTTTCTTTCTTTTTTTTATTTTTCTGGCCTGCACCGCTTGGCATGTGGGATCTTAGTTCCCTGACCACGGAACGAACCTGAGCCTTCTGCCCTGGAAGCTCAGAGTCTTAACCACTGGACCGCCAGGTAAGTCCCCCAGTGTCAGTTATGATCTGTATTTCAGTGTAAAAATTTAGCTAACTTTACATTTCTAATATTTTTAAAGTTCTATTAAAATGATTGTAATTTGCAATAGGTTTTAGGAATACTAAATGATAAATGTTAAAAGCAAGGAAAAAACAAGGCCTCCACTAAAAAGAAATGACAAGTAAATGCAGTGCATGATCCCAGATTGGATCGTGAACCAGGAAAAAAAGTTGCTACAAGAGACATTATTGGGACAATTAACAAAAGTTGAATATAGACTATGGATTAGAAAATAATATTGTATCAAGATTAAATTTTCTAATTTTGATAACAATACAGTGGTTATGTTCTTAGGAAATACACTCTGGGACTTCTCTGGTGGTGCAATGGTTAAGAATCTGCCTGCCAATGCAGGGGACACGAGTTCGATCCCTGGTCCAGGAAGATCCCACATGTCGCGGAGCAACTAAGCCCGTGCACCACAACTACTGAAGCCTGCGTGCCTAGAACCTGTGCTCCGCAACAAGAGAAGCCACTGCAATGAGAAGCCTGTGCACCACAACGAAGAGTAGCCCCTGCTCACTGCAACTAGAGAAAGACCACGTGCAGCAACTAAGACCCAACACAGCCAAAAATATAAATAAAAATAAATAAATAAAATTGTTTAAAAAAATCACACACACACAAAAAGGTAATACACTCTGAAACATTTAGGGGTAAAGGGGTATAATGTCTGCAACTTCCTCCCCAATGATCATATGTATATGTTTATATATATAATTATACATTATACATAATATACATATTATTACATGTACGTGATTATGGAGCAAATAAGGGCAAATAAGGCAAAATGTTAACAATTGATGAATTAGGTAAAGGACATATAGCAATTCTTATATGAAAATAAAAAGTTATTTAAAAATAAATAATAAAGCCTACTGCCAACAGATGTGGACAATTCTGATGTGCAGCAATTCCTCATGCTTCTCACGAGTCTTTGAGTTTTCTGTTACAATAAGTCCCAAGACCTGTATCCTGGGGTTAAATTGTGCAACCAACTGATGGATATGGTTATGAAACAATAAAAATATAAAATTGTGAAATCATTGGCAACAGTTTCCCCACAATCCCAATAAAAGTTAGCAGCTGTGTCCCAGGACTGGCCCATCGCTCTTGAGAGTCATGAGCACTAGGATGCCCTTGTCACCATGTCCTCGAACTCCCTTTCAGGAGTCTGAGATCTAAAAACAAATGCCCCAAGTGAGGCCGGCCTTAGTGGGGGGGAAAAATGACTTTGTTTTAAACACTCTCTCTCCTATCTTCTTTTGCCTTCACTATCTGGCAAAAGCATCTGCTTCCCTAGGGTCTCCCAGCTGCTTCTTTGCAGTGTTGTTTTTTTCCCCTTCGTGTTTGATCTAGGCCTGTTGTTTCTTCTTTGTCTGGGCCCCTGGATTTAGCCCTCTCTGTCTTTATATCCACATCTGCAGCCGTGGTTCATGTCTCTGAACGATCACAGTAGTTTTCTGGCTCAATCGAAGGTTACAACTAGATATGGCCAAAGGGCTATTTGTTTTGACAGTTACCATGTTGGCCCATTGGTGTCTTAAATTTTATATAATCAATGGAATTGTCAATATTTAATCAGGGGAATTTACATAATCTGGATTTCCAGTTTCTCTTCAAAGATCAGAAGGTCTGGCCATACCAGGGTAACAGTAGATCAGAGATATGCACTGGGACATTCTTTAGGCAGGTAGGTTCTTCCAGTTGGCAACAATCTGCATCTGGTCCACTGCTCTTTTGACATGGCCTGCAGGCCCCATGAGAGATTTAAGTTTGCAGCTTCTGGGTCAGAGAGTTTCTGTGGTAATTTGATCACAACCTCTCTGACTGCTCTATCAAACATTATTTGTGTGATGCCTCAGATTCCCTAGTCACCTGTCTCCAGAGCTCTAGTCTTCCTGTTTCACCCAGCTGCCCTGGCAGCACATCTGCTGCCCCAAACCAACTATCTGGAGTTTCTGACTCCTCTACACGCCTCTGCACTCACTGGAACAAAGCACCATGCTTCCTACGTGGCTGCCAGAGGCTGGGTGGTGCAACCCAGAGGGGCAGGAAAGTTCACTCCCCCGTAGAGAACCATAGTGCAACAGAGATCAGAGGAGGAAAAGAGCCAGTGAATAAATGGCCTCTCCTTCTTCCCTTGGATCAACTGTTTCAAGGAGTGGTTTCTCTGTATATAGCCTGTTCAGAGACATTCCACGTAGTCTAGCGGGTCCACCTGCCAAGGCGGCTCTGAAGCCGTAGCCAGTGTGGTAACACATTACTTTGTGTTGCATCTCATCCTTCCTTTCCCTCTTTGCCTCTCCTGTCTCTCCCACTGTCATGGGTTTACCTCCCAAATAAAGAATGAGCACTTAGTCCTTGCCTCAGCCTCTCTTTTCTAGCCCAGGATAAGATAATTATTTGTTGAACATGAAGAAATTACTCTGCAGCCTACCGTTGCCTGTACGTATTTCTTGAACTTTCTCTAACCGTGGGTTTTGGGGAGGTCCTCTTAGATTTTGCTTTTAGGACCATAGGTCACAACTCATTCCCAATTCAAGTCCCAGATTTAATACCTCTTTTGTAATGAAGTAATCAGTGCTTGCACTAGCTGAAGGAGTTTTTTCCTTCTAACAGTTTCCACACCGCTCTACCTACATCTAACTTATGACATTTATCTTTCTCTGTGTTATGACCCTTTATGGTCTGTGCCTTAACTCAGGCCCTCATATTTCTTTATTTTATTTAATTAATTAATTAATTTTATTTTTTTGTAGGGGGCATGCCATACAGCTTGTGGGATCTTAGTTCACTGACCAGGGATTGAACCCAGGCCCCCAGCAGTGGCAGCATGGAGTCATAACCACTGGACCGCCAGGGAATTCCCAGGCTCTCATTTTTCTTGTGGAGATCACACTGAGGGGTCTCCTATGCTGTTATTTGGCCTCCAGTCCCATCACTTGTCTTCTCCTTTGTAGTGTTTTCTTCGCCCAGAATCTTCTTCCTTTGTTCATTTTTGCCCCCAGCAAACTTCTATTCCATTTTTTCAGGCCCTTTAAAGGAGTTCAACAATGGCCTCTTGGGGCTTCCGTGGTGGCGCAGTGGTTGAGAATCCACCCGCCAATGCAGGGGACACGGGTTCGAGCCCTGGTCCGGGAAGATCCCACATGCCGCAGAGCAAATAAGCCCGTGCACTACAACTACTGAGCCTGTGCTGTAGAGCCTGCGAGCCACAACTATTGAGTCTGTGTGCTGCAACTACTGAAGCCTGCGTGCCTAGAGCCCCTGCTCCACAACAAGAGAAGCCACCGCAAGGAAGAGTAGCCCCTGCTCTCCTCAACTAGAGAAAGCCTGCGTGCAGCAGTGAAGACCCAACACAGCCAAAAATAAATAAATTTAATAAATTTTAAAAAAAGAAAAAAAGAGTGGCCTCTTGCAAGAAACTTTCCCAGACTCAGACTAGATTAGTGCTATAGACTGAATGCTTATGTCCCACCCCCAGCCCCCACCAAATTCATATGTTGAAACTTAATCCCCAAAGTGATGATGTTTGGAGGTGAGGTCTTTGAGGTCTTTGGGGTGATTAGTTCATTAGGACGGGGCCTTCACAAATGGGATTAGTGCCTTTAAAAAAGAGACCCCTGGGACTTCCCTGGCGGTCCAGTGGTTAGGACTCTGCTCTACAACTGCAGGGGCCCAGGTATGATTCCTGGTTGGGGAACTAAGATCCCTCATGATGCGTGGCCAAAAAAAGACTTCAGGGAATTCCCTGGTGGTCCAGTGGTTAGGACTTGGTGTTTTCACTGCCGTGGCCTGGGTTCAATCCCTGGTCAGGAAACTAAGATCTCGCAAGCTACCCAGCCAAAGAAAAAAGGAAGAGAGAGACTCCAGAAAACTTCCTTGCCCCTTCTATCCTGTGAGGACCCAGTGAGAAGACGGCCATCCATGAACCAGAGAGCAGGTTCTCACCAGACACAAATCTGCCAGCACCTTGATCTTGGGCTTCTCAGCCTCCAGAACTGTGACAGATAAATTTCTGTTTATAAGTTATCCAGTCTATGGTAATTTTGTTATAGCAGCCTGAACCCACTAAGACAGTTACCCAGCTCTCTTTGGGGCCCACACAGCACTCTTTCCAGCTCTGGTGGTGGGTTATTGAAAGTTTACTTATGTCTTCTCCAGACTTTGAGTTCCCTTAGGAAAGAGGTGATATTTATTTAAAACAGTGCCTATAGGTTCACTATAGGTTAATGGAACAAATGAAAAAACTACAGATGTCTTATCTCTACTTGACTGGAAGTTCCTTTCAGTCGAGGATATATGTCTGATTCATGTTTGCATTCCAGTGCCAAGGGCAGGACCTGGTATAAGGTAGATGCTGAACAGTGTATTGAAAGAATGAATAAATTCATGAAAGAGAATTTGTCATTAAAGTCACCTGGGGGACGCTGGCTCCTTTAGGGAGGAGACACTCTTGGACACAGCTCTAGTGAAGCAGAACAGACCCCCGCAGCAAGGGTCAGCCACCGTAGACATTGTCTGGTTTCACTTCCATTTATAAATTGTGTTGAATTATCACGGGAAGCAACTGTTCCCTCCACCTCCACCTGCCCACCCACGACCGTCTCCTCAAAGGCAATTCCAGTTAACCTTTGCTGCCCCACACTCTCTCCCCAATTCTTTTTTTTTTTTTTGGTACGTGGGCCTCTCACTGTTGTGGCCTCTCCCGTTGCAAACACAGGCTCCAGACGCGCAGGCTCAGCGGCCATGGCTCATGGGCCCAGCCGCTCTGAGGCATGTGGGATCTTCCCGGACCATGAACCCGTGTCCCCTGCATCGGCAGGCGGACTCTCAACCACTGAGCCACCAGGGAAGCCCTAAAATAATATCTTTAAAATATATGTATGGCATAAAAAAAATGATGCAGTGAATGTTCCCATATTCACTTGCATCCCCTCTCCCTCCTGCGACCCTCTTCCAATTCCATGTCCTTCTTTCTGTCTTACAGGAAACCACTCTCCAAAGTTTTTGTTTATGGCTCGTTTTTCACTACAGTTTTACCCTGCGTGTTTGTATGAAATAAGACTGTATTACTTGCATTCCTAAATAATATTTTGTGTACTTTAGCATATTTTTAAACTTTTAGACAAGTGGAATCATTCTTTTTTTCTTTTTAAGGCTGAACTGTGTTGTTATGTGTAGCTGTAATTCTTTCATTATCCTCTGCTGTAAAATATTTTCCTCTGCACACATCCTCTCTCTCTAAAAAAAAAAAAATCCACTCTTCTGTTTTTAGACAGGTTATTTCTGCTTTCTGCTATTAGGAACTGTGCTGCTGTGTCATAGCCAAAACACT